TAAGTTTTGTTAAAATAGGATATATCATACTTAATGTTAGATAAGAACTTCCACTAATAAGTTCAATAACTTGTACAAAGAGCTTCAATAAATCTATCAATTCCTCCAATGCTTACCATTCTCTATAATTTAAAAATAAATGTTCTAATTCTTTTTCATCTTTTTTTACTATATTATCATTATTATTTAATAATACAGTAATTAATAATTGAATAGTATGTTTCAATTGTAGAAGATATGCAAAAACTAAATATATTGAATTCCATCTCATCTTTACATCTTGAATAGATTCAAACTCATTAGAGATCGAAATAGAGATATTTAATATTGAAGTACCATTAATTAATTTTTGTAAATCATGAAGTTTTTGTTGATACTTATCATGATTTATCAAAAACTTATTAAGAACTTTTGTACATGTTATTAAAGTCTGACATTTTGATAATCCATTATTAATTGTGAATTGTAAGATATGTATCATATATTTGATATGATGATAGCCTAATTTTTGTATTGTAACATGTATATTAGCTACATTATCTGTAGTACCAGCAATAACTTGATTGCTTATTTCCTATTTATCAAATAATTGTTACAAAAAATTAGCAATTTTATCACCTGAATGATCATAAGAAAATTCTTTAATTATTAAGAGTGCCTGACAAAGATTAAAGTCTGATATTAACCAATGTATAGTTATGCTAATATAAAGTTGATGAAATTGTGTCCAAAAATCAGTTGTAAAGCTATATGTTATCATTATGTCTTTAATAAATTTTTGTAATTTGTTTTTGGCAAATATAACAATATCAAAAATTTTGATTTTGATTATTTCTGCATAAAGAACTGTAAATTATCAATCTAATTTATTACTCAAGTGAATGAAAGACTCTGATTCAGCAGTATTAAGAGATTGAAAATCATTAATGATATATTTGATAAGAAGATAAACAAGTCATATATAATATTATTTAATAGCTTTATATAGCTTTATATTTTTGATACATATTTCTAACATCTGTTATGTTTGATTAGTGATAAGATTTAATACTTTTGCTAAATTGATTGCATTTGAAATTCAATAAACAGTTCTTAAATGATTTTTAATATTTGTAATACTTGTTATAGCTATAAATTTTGCATTATATAGCTTTTCAATACCATTTTCTGTTACTTGTACAGTATAATATCATATTTTAGTACTTGAATTCACATATATATAATCCCACATCCAGCTTGAATCCTATTTACTTTGTGATTGTTGGAATTGGTAAGCATCTGTTGATAAAATAGCAACATGTTGTGATGTAAGTGCTGAAGTATTGAATGTTGAAGTGAACAGAATTGATGGAGATAAAGGTAATAGTGATGGTAGAGTTGTTATATTTTCATTTTGATTATCTTGAGAAGTTTCATAAGAGATTTCTTGAAGAGTATCATAATTAATTTCATATATTTCTTCATTAGAGTTTTCATAAGTTTTGTGAGAAATTTCATGTTGAATTAGTTTATTTGATATTCTACTTTGAGTTGATTTATTTGAAGTTTCATTTTGTATAGCAAATATACTTGCATTATAGATAACAGATTGTAGTTGGTTATTAGAAACTATAGAATGTTTTTTCTTATTTCATTCACCCTGCACCATTTCATCTTCCTCAAATATGAATAGTTATAATGAAAAAGTAGCAAAAATATCTAAACATAATGCATAAGTATATAATATTTTATGATTTAAATTGTCTATACTATAAATAATTAATCTGGTTGGCTAGTATTATTACTATAAATAGAAGTATATCAAATAAGATAAGCAGTTGGTCTTGTGATCTTATTGAATTGTAACCAGTCTGGTTGGTCTGATTGGTTTGGCTGATCTGGTTATAAGTCATCCATAACACTAGTTTGTTTATCATTATTTATTAAGTATAAATACCTTAATTGGTGATGATTTATAAACTTAACCATATGCATAATTATGTATGAATATTTATAATATTAGTTAGTAATTATACGTATAGATATATCTCTAGAAGTATACTAATCCATCACTTGAGTTGATACAAAAATTAATACTCTTAGTCTGAATAAAAGTAATAGGGGAAAATGTTAAAGATTACACAAATTAATATATGATCTATAGTTCACATATTAAATAATTTATTATTATACATAATATAAAGATATATATGATAATAAATGACTGATAAAATATAATTTGTAATTTAAAAATTATAAATATTTGTTTATTTATAAATTCAAGAATATTAATTTTACATATTTTAATAACTCTTCTACATCAATTACATTATCTATTATTTCATCTACAATATTCAAATCATCTTTATTTTCATTCTTATTTCTATCATCAAATATTCCAACATCAACAATATTATTAGTTATACTTACTATTAGCATATTGACATTTTTTTTGATTTCACTTTGAAGATAACCTAAACAAATAAAATATTTAAAGTGAGATTTTTGTAAGTAATAATTATGATAATCATGCTCACATGTCAAAATAGAGCTATTAGACAAATCATAAATTCTATCGCAATATAATAAGTTATATAAAAGATACATTAGATTTTTTAGAATTAATAAAACCTCTTGGAAGATGATGATTCATTATTTTATAGTCTAATGAAGATAGTTCATATGTATTAATACCATCATCACTTGTGAATTTAATAACAGGATATTTATCACAATTCCAATACACTTTCACAAATATTTCCAAAAGTGATATGGAATATTTTTAAAAAAATATATCTAACTGTTTTGATATATACAGATATTTCACAGAATGTACAAAATTTTGTTAAAAGATATTATCCTATCATTGCTAGAAAATGAAATACATCTCTTTTTATAATTATTCAGCTGTAAGATACTTAATAGTATATCTTTGAATAATACTATGAACAATTTTAATGGGACTATCACTAAGAGAAGCAAGATGATTAGTAATTAAATTCATCATTAGATGTCCAGTTTCCATCTAATAAAAAATATCTAAAAAAAATATTAAGAAAATATGCTTATAATTTCTTTGATTAAATCATAGAAAAGGTCACTCCAATAATATATATATGCTTTCTCATATAATAACTAATCTCCATTCCAATAATATATGGCATAAATGTTGAGAATTAAGAGAACTAAATTGCTAAATAAATTAGTAAGATATAAAAACTCTATTTTTTTACACATAAATCCAAATTTTGAATAAATCATATCCACAATATTGGATCATATCAAGCGTATAATATGAAGAATTAAATTAATTCTTCATGGTCATGACTTCTGGTCAAGTTTCTTCTTCACCCCAAATATGTTCTTGTAAATGTTACTAAATAATAAATAATTTTTTTTATAAATAAGCTTGCAAGAATTTAAAGATATATGAAGAGATTCTAAAATAGGTAAAAATAACATAACAAACTGAAAGATACTTTTATTATTGAGAAGGAGTCATTGTACAATAGCTTTACAAATAAAAAATTATCCAGACCAATCCACAATAATAGAAACTGCATAATTAGAAAGATATATTTACATTAGCTCTTGGTTATATACAATTTGAAGGGCATCAATATATTCTTCTATATTTTTTAATTCTTTTTTAATGAAGTCAACAAGAATTAAGTTGCAAATATATCAATTATTCTTTTTCTCTGCAAGCCTATCATCATAGCTATATACTATTAGTCTATCTAATACTTCTTTATTAATACATACTTGTTCTCTGCTTTATATTTGATCATGATATGAAATATCAAGATTTACAATAAATCATTTATCAAGATGTTTCATAATCAAATAGCTATCTATGAATCTTGAATTAACTATTTCATTACACAATATTGCAGATCTTAAACATGGGTTTATTAAAATTGTTGCTATATGTATTGCTCTAGGAATATCTGTAATATTAGACTGCTGTGGAACATGAATATTATGATAGTTATTAATATTTAGCATGAGTACATTCTCTAATTACTGAAAAAGAATATTCTCTACATATTTTTTATGTACATCTAATATTTTTCTCTTACGCTGATTTACTACCTGCGGTGTTGTAGTAATACTGATATTTATTATTATATTCAAGCCTTTTTTAGTTATTTCTGCTAAATCTAAATAAAATGTAATATTAAACTTAAAGAAATTAATTTTAGTATTGTTCAAAGAAGCAAGTAAATAATAAATTAAGACTATTATTCTTTTCATATAATCTATTATTTGTTTAGTACGTGTAGATGATCTAGTTGCTAAATAAAATTGTTCAATAAAATACTTAAGATTAGATTCATCTTTTACTAGTAATTCTCATAATTCTTCAAATATATAAATTGTATTTTTCTTTTTTACATGCTCTCTTTCATAAAGAATTTTTGTTATCAACTTGATGGCTTCAGAGAGCTTAATTTTTTTGTCAAACTTACCTGCCTCATTAGATGTATCTGCCTTTTCCTCTAGATCATCTATATTTTTTGCTTTCTTGTTACTTTTTTTCAGTCTTTCCAATGGATTTATAACTTCATCCATATAATATTTATGATATAGAACAATATCTTCTTTCAATATTATCTTTGCTAGACCAAAAGCCACGATCTCTTTCTATTTTTCTCTATCTAATGAATAGAATCTAAAAGATTGGATGACAAGACAATTTGTGTAATGTTTATTTTCAGATATACTTAATACTAATATAAGTTGTTGAATTAAGGTGGATTAACTAAATATTCCTGTATAGCTGAGCGAGAACTTCAAGTTTCAAAGAATTTCCAGTTACCTTTCATAGGACGGATAGGCTACACAAGCCTCGTGAAAAAGTACTTTAAAACATATAAATTATGACTTTAATGAATTGTGTAATGTGTTTTTATTTTTAGGTACATTTCCACCTGTTGATAAAAGCAGATAAGAGCTCCCTTAAACAAAAATATAAAGATATGTTACTTTCCTTTCCAAAGTTGCAAAATTTGCTGGATTCAACTCTTTTGCTTTGAATAAAAATCTACGGGTCCAGGTGCTGTCAAGAGCAAGCCATCTATTTGAAGAATGTACTGTTGTGAGGATCGGCGATTTAGAAAATCAGCATATGACCATGCTTCATTCTCTTTTAAGTAACGGACAAGTTCTAGATATTTAGCATTTAGAATTAATATTTTTCACACACAACTCGCGCGCAATTTACAAGTTTACCCGAGTAGCCAACATAAAAATTTTCCGCCATTTCAAGATTTTTTCGCGTAACTCATGTGATATTTATTAATAAGTTTAATCAGATTACGAACATATTACGTCAGTATTGGGAATTTATGACCGAATAGATTTGCTTTACATGGTGGGATCTACCCAACGCAACTACCAATCATATACTTTGTTTTCTGGAAGGTTTTTAGGTATAAAAATAAGCATGTTTCCACCCATAAGATAAGTCAGCAATACCGTTATTTTTGCTCATATATATTTTTTACTTGATAATGGAACATCGACTTACAGAATATCAATATGTTTACCAGCATTTAACATATAATACATTAGTTGCTATAAATTTTTATTCGTATTTCAGTTATGCTTCCTTATCGGACGGCATAGATGCACTTCGAAAATTATTGGAATCATTACGTGACGA